GGAAATGAGTCCAAGAAGCAAGGAACGAGGCATGGAGTCCACAAAGCAAGGAAGAAGCAATGTAGTCCTGCAAACTCCAGACGTCTGCAAAACTCTACAAATTCAGTGTTTGTTCCCGACATACGTCCCTCCCCACAGCGTTTCCTTAAGTCTCACTCCCCAAGTATGCTTTGTGAAGAGGGGTGGGACGCTCTTCACCTGAGTTGTTGGGTCAGCCTGCGCCGTTCCCGCCTTCTCTCCACTCTCCGTTCCCGCCTTCTCTCCACTCTCCGTGCTCGCGGATCGGGAGGGAGCAGTCCTTGCTCATCGCCTGAGCTCCATCGCTCCTCATTTCCACGGCTTGCCCTCTCTCAGTCATCCTGCCCCCCTTCCCCCCAATCCTGAGGGGCCCTGGGCTGCCTTGTCCTGCTCCTCCTCACATTCCTCCGAAGCCAACGAAGCTGCCACCTTGATCGCTGTCAGCTCCAGCTCCGGCTAGTCCTCTTCCGCAGATTCAGGCTCCCACGGGGGCATGACATCGCTATTCGAAGGGGCTCTGGCTGGCTTATGATATAGTAAAATAATAATAACAGAGGTATCAAAACAATTATAAATATAAAAACAATGCAGGTCATTTATTCTGCCTAGTGGTAGAGTAAGCCTTGTCTTAACTCACGTTTACTCTCATGAAGACACGTTTGTTTTGGGCGAGTGGGAAACACAGAAAGCTAAGAACAATTTCCAGCTTCTGAGTTGCCCCCTTTGGAATTCCTTTAAAAAGTTGGTCATGTGTAGCTGGAAGCAATTCACTAGAAGTCTCTCTCTTTCTCTCTCCTTTTCAGCTTTGCATTACCTGTTTTTAACTACCATTCAACTCTTCAAGCCATGGCTGGAGGTTTTAGAGGGGGAAGAGACAAGGTAAGTGGGAAGCTGTTTAGGAGGTGAAAGAAAATAGAATTGACCTGGGATCTTCACCTATTTGGGGAATGGTGGACACCTTGGAAATTTTAAGCACGTGTTTTTGGTTCTTTCTCTCCTTTCCTCTCTTCTCTCTCCTTTCCTCTCTTCTCTCTTCTCTCTCTCCTCTCCTCTCCTCTCCTCTCTCTTCTCTTTCCTCTCCTCTCTCCTCTCTTCTGTCTTCTGTCTCTCCTCTCCTCTCTCTTCTCTTTCCTCCTGTCTCCTGTCTCCTCTCTTCTGTCTTCTGTCTCCTCTCCTCTCTCCTCTCTCTTCTCACTCCTCTCTTTTCTCTCCTCTCTCTTCTCTCTCTCTTCTCTCTCTAGCAAACAGCGCTGCTATCCATGGCTGGAAAGTGATGCCTCCATTGCATCAACTATGGTGGAATTGTTTGCATCCAGCATCGCCGTTTTACACAAAGGTTTTAAAGGTAAGAAGATTGAGCGCTGGGATCTCAGTGGCTTCACGGGTCGGAGAGTTATAAGGTAGCTTCTTATGTCACATTAGATTAATTCCTCCTTTAAAATCCCTTTGTAAGGGATTCTTGATACTCTTTTGAGCTTGGTTGTTTTCTTTCAGACTTTTCATTACCAAACTAGGTAACATCATCAGTGCTAGTGCATCTTAGCTCTGATGATGTTGCGTAGTTTGGTGGTGAAATGTCTGCAAGAAAACCACCAAGCTCAGAGAGCACCAAGGATCCCTCTTTTCAACCCTGAGCTACAAATATTCTCTTATATCAATTATCCCCTGTAATTTAGTCTTCCCAACTGGAAGTTGATGCCAAAAAAGCCAACACAGCTCTAGGTTGCATTAACAGAGAGAGAGAAACAAGAACATATGATGTGTTAATATCACTTTACAATGCCTTGGTAAGGTCACACTTGGAATACTGCATCCAGCATTGGTTGCCATGATGTAAAATAGATATTGAGACTCTAGAAAAGAGTGCAGAGAAGAGCAACAAAGAAGATTAGGGGACTGGAGGCTAAAACACATGAAGAACGGTTGCCGGAATTGGGTATGTCCAGTTTAATGAAAAGAAGGACTCGGAGATGACATGATAGCAGGCTTCCAATATTTGAGGGGCTGCCACAAAGAAGAAAGGATCAATCTATTCTCCAAAAAACACCAGAAGGCAGGGCAAGAAACAATGGATGGACACTAATGAAGGAGAGAAGCAACCTAGAACTAAGGAAAAATTTCATGAGAGTGAGAACAATGAGTGGAACAACTTGCCTCCAGAAGTTATAAATGCTCCAACACTGGAAGTTTTTAAGAAGAGATTGGACAATCATTTGTCTGAAGTGCTGTAGGGTTTTCTGCCTAAGCAGGGGGTTGGACTAGAAGACCTTCAGGATCCCTTCCAACTCTGTTATCCCGTTATTCTGTTTTTCTAAGTAGTTTTTACTACAACTCCCAACTGGTGGCAGTCCTTCAAAAAAAAAAAATGTAATTGTTCTGGCGAAAAGTTCCCTGATTCCTACAATCTCTTAGTTTCCCTTCTTCAATACACAGATGTTGAGAAAGAAAAAGGAAATTTCGTGTGATTTTGGTGTGCCTTTAGATTCCTTGTGAAGGCTGGGCTGTTTCTATTCATACACTCTCTCTCTCTCTCTCTCTCTCTCTCTTTTTTGGATTGTTGTAGATAAGGTGCTGCCAAGCGACCCTGGAATCCTTTGGCTTCTTGTGATGCACTATTGCGAGTCGTACACGGCACCCAAAATGCCGGAGCACCTCCTTCACATATTCCACATGGAATTGGGCCGCCTCCCCTGGAAGGAAGTTCATCCGGATCAGCACCTGATGGAGGAATTCTTTAAGGTCAAAAAGGGGCTTATTGCTGGTCAGCGCAAGGCAGAAAAAAAAGGGGGGGAAGTTGGGGAGGGAGGAAAGAAAGGATGCCTCGCTTAGGATGCGAGCTTCATTCTCACTTCTTCACGTTGTCCGAGGCTTTGAAAATCTCCTTTGTTGGGGGACCCATCACAGGCAGGAGGTGGAGGGTCAGAGTTCATTGAATAGGGGGTGGGGTGGGGGGAAAGCAGTACAGCAGGGACAGCAGTCTTGCTGGTCGTGGAAAAGGAGGAATGGGAAGAAGAACTAAACGGGGGGAAAAAAGAAATAGATAGCAGGAGCCATGATTATACTCAAGGTCTTCCTTCCTCCCTCCCTCCGTCCCTCTTTTCCTTCCTTTATTTCTACCTCCCTCCCTCTCCCCTCTCTATTTTCCTTCCTTCCTTTCTTCTTCCCTCCATCCCCCTCCCTATTTTCCTTTTCTTCCTCCCTCCCTCCCTCTTTTCCTTCCTTTCTTCCTCCCTGCCTCCCTCTCCTTCTTTTCCTTCCTTTATTTTTTCCTCCCTCTCTCTCCCCTCTCTATTTTCCTTCCTTCCTTTCTTCCTCCCTCCATCCCCCTCCCTATTTTCCTTCCTTTATTTCTACCTCCCTCCATCCCCCTCCCTATTTTCCTTTTCTTCCTCCCTCCCTATTTTCCTT